GGGAGGAGGCCATCGCGGTTGTTCAATGTACAAAAAATTATCTGTTACGCAATATCATCCGACGCAGTACCCCACAAATTCCTCCGGAATTGACAGAGTGACAGTAGCAATAGCAGCTTGAGTAGTGCACCTAAAATTTTTCTAGTTATAGGGGGTTTTATAGGTGGAGAATCAGAATAGGTAGAAGAATAAACATTAATAACTGCTATATGCATTTCTATTTTATTGTATTTAGAAATTTCGTTGATTTATATCTGGATTCTGTCTTAATCTGTGTTATCTTAAAAGTTTTGCGAAAAAACGCAACTAAAGAAATACAGGTTTTTTTAAATTTTTGAAAAAACAGAAATGGTGGTCGTTTATTTCAAATATTTGTGGTCACTTTACCGTTCTCGATTTAGATTAGCATAGTCCACAGCACGACGCATCTCCGAAGGATGGAAAAAACTCGTCATGCTGCGTCACTTCGGGAGACAATGTCATCCTTACTCTGTCCATTCGGCAGCAACCTCACTCCAAAGTATTTGAGACTGTCGACTTCTTCAAGTTGACAGTCACTAATCTCGAGAGAGTATCTGAAACCGTCTACTTCTTCAGGTTGATAGCCACAAATCTCGAGAGGTGCCTTCACTTGGGCAGCGATATAGCATAAAAATGCCTTGGTCTTTCCAGCGTTTAAGGACAAGCCAACCGATTTGGCGACCTCATTATTTCGTTACACCATAGATTGTAGTTCGCTATAGATTGGAGCTATTACCTGAAACATTCACAATTTTAGTGGACTCTTTTCAATGTGCTAAACATCGGTTTTTGATCGAAAGTAAAGCTGTATATCAGAAAGAGGAGGAATTAGAAACGGGAAAACTTACATAACCTGGGTATAACTTATGATTAAACCAATGGTCATTTATGGCTTATTTGCTATCATCAGCCGATCATACCCAATCCCAGGTTTGGATTACCAGGACTCGGTCGGTTTGACTTAAATTTGTTCTACAATTTATTATGCGACTGTCTGCGTTGGCTCTTTGGTGAGCTCCAGGGTAAAAGGGGATATTTTTGTACGTTTTCCTCATGTAACCATAATTTTCCCATATTCAAAATTTATATTTACCATTTTAAATGTAATGTTCATCCTTCGTACACCCTCTTAGACTTGGACAAGTTGAAATTTAGTACGAAGGCAAAGCATATCTACAGAACCGGTGATAAGAACCACACTATAACCTGTGAAGTCGAGCCACCGGAAGCAGAACTGCTACCCAACTTTTCCTACGGATGGCAAGTAAGACACGTATCTAAAACCCTCGACGTGCAAGACTACAACGATGGCGCACACCACATGGTTTGTAGTTCGCCAGCTTCCAAGGTTGCCAAACTTAAGTGGGCCTTCTATGTAGTGAGTAAGTTGAAAGGATGACAACGAAATTGCCCTGAATCCTTATATCCACAACTGCACATTCTCCTGACTCTAAAATTTAAAAAAAA